GGGGGATTTTTTAAATTATTTTTTAGGGGGGATATTTTTGTAGTACAAGTAGGGTTGTTGTTTTTTTTGCTTTAGTTTTAGTTAGATTTTTACAGCACTTCAATTGTTTAGGAGGGGTTTATTTTAGCTTTAGTGATAGAGTTTTACAGCACTTTCCACGCAAATAGGTCATAAGTGCCGAAGTTGTTTTTTGTGTGTTTTTTTCGAAAGAGTAACATTGGAAGCAAAAAGGAAAGAGATGAGGACGATAGATGTTTGATAGGACAGAAAGAACAAACTTCACTTGAGCACCCACCAACCACCCACTGATATACATAGATATAAGTTTGCAGTAATTTTAATTTTTTGCTGCATGCAGAAATAAATGTAGATATGTTTTGCACCCTCATCAGCACAATGTAGGTCAATAAGGGAGGTGGGTTGTCTCCCCCTGTCTATCAGGGCGAACAGAGCGCGACCTCAGTGCTCTCCTGTCCTATCTCCTTTTTAGTTTTAGTAAAAGTTTTTACGGCACTTGCAACACAGTAAGGTCATATATAGTGCCGAAGAATAGATGTGTTACGAGAGAGTGACAAACACAAAAAAGAAGGAGGAGAGATAAGGAGGACAGATGTTTGATAGGAAAGAAGAAGCAAACCACACCAGAGGGCCTATCTCCATTTTTTTTTATATTGGAAATTTAACTTCTTCTTAAGCTCACTCTTTGTTTTGAACTGTTTTCACTGTTATTAAAACTAAAGATAGGACAGAAAGCACTGAGGTCGCGAAAGTTTGAGAGAGACACAACGTCCCAGCAGACAGTTGGGTATACTCGACAAAAAAAACCCCACCAAAACCCCTCCCCACACGGAAATCGAACTCGTTTTCTGTTTGTGATGCTACACCGCATACTTTGGTCAGTTATGCTAAGAAACATGTAAACAGGTTTTGAACCTGAGCTCTTTGGGCATACAGGGCACTCATTTGTTTTCTTTCACGTAGAGATGTGGGGACATTTGAAGTGTTGAATTACCCCCTCCTGGTTTTTTTTTCTTTTGCCTCCCCTCTCGCTCTCTCTCTCCTTTCCACCCTCCTTTCCACCCTCCCTTTTGCGTTGAGTGAGTTCTCTTGTGGGTGTCTGGTCTGATCTGGTCCCTCCAGCTTTTCTTGACATCTTCCCGGTTTTTTGTAGCTTTTTTATATGGGGGGGG